CCCAGCGAGGGGGGAAGGGGGGGCGACAGGAAGCGAGGGGGCTGCCTCCCTGGTTCCTTGCCCCTCTCTGCGGCCCTGGCCGGGGCTCTGGAAGACCCTGTCCTGGAGGGAGAGGGGAGCAGGGCGGAGGGCTGCGCGCGCTGGTCAGGATGGGGAGGGAAGCCTGCTACATATCTGCCAGCTGCCCTGGGGATCGGGAGCGCGGTGGCGGCCCTACCATTTTCCTCCCGGCGCTGGCAACCTAGGGGACAGTCAGGTTCAGGAGTTTGGGCTCCGTGCTGGATTTAGAGCGCTCCACCCACCCCTTTTTTCTTTTCTGCCGCATCTTAGGGTGGTTTCTTCGGCGCAGGCTGTGTTGGCCACCGGGTCGGGGATCGCCATCATCCGCTCCTGTAAGAACGTGGTCTCCGACAGGTAACAACATCCAATGCCAGGTGAAAGAAGTACAGATATCAGCGCCGAACTTTTTCGAAGTTTGCACATTTTAGTGGCACACAGACACTATTTCTTTATGAGTACACGCTGTTGGATAGCCGGTTAATGGGAAAACTTGGGTGCCATAATTAGTTCCCACCTCCTCTCCTTACCTCTTTATGCGGGCCACCTTAGGGGAAAGTAAACTGAAGAAATGCTAGAGAATGACAGAGTCTAAGCCTGATTTAAGGTAACATGTAAGAAGACGGTGTGGTCCATTGACCCAAGTTATTTATGAGATAGATACTTTTGGAAATGATTCAGAAGTGAGAGTGTGGCTTTTAGTCACCCCACTGGGGTCCTGCTCTGAAGCATTCATTGGCCAAGGTATGTGCATCGTGGTTACCAGAGCCTTACAAATGCTGCTCTTTCTTGTCTCTCCTATGGATTTGCTCAAGGTGGTGAGGAGTTTTCAGGTGCTTTCAGAAAACTGACTTGTCTGTGTTAGAGCTCAGTCCAGAGGCATCAGGAAATGTGCATCTAGTGGACTGAATCATAAAGACTAGTGTGGTCTACTTTGTGTAGTGTGTATGTAGACCTGGGCAATGGTGGTGTTTTGTTTTTGAAGCCTTTTTTTTTTTCACCTGTCTTCCTAGAACCACTCTTGCTTTCTCCCAGTTAAGTTGAAGAGCTACAGTCATTGTACAGGGAAAGTCTGACAGCAGTGTCCTCTTTTCACCTGTCGAGACTTCAGTAGGAGGAGAGCCTGAGTGGGGTATCTGTCTCACTGGCCTGCAGATGTAGTGCCTGGATCTTACTTGGGATTAATGCTGCCATCGTGATTTTTGTGCTTTTCTTGGTGATGAATTGTAGGTGCTGAGAGAAAACAGGTCAGGTGACTTTGATTGCATGTGCAAAGGACTGACAGCATTTGCTTGGCCGGGTTCGATTTTTATTTTAATCTAATCGAGCACTCTGTGATCACCTGGCAAGCTCCCTCACTGCCCCCACCCAGTTTGTCAGCTCAAACTTGAAACCAGCCTCTTTTGCAGAGATTAAGACAAATGTGGCTCAGCACTATCTTGAGCTGACAGGAGGGCAAGCAGCAGGCAACCAATACACATTTTAGAGAGATATTTGTGCATACTTAACTTTCAGTTCTGTAGCACCACTGTTATGATTCCCCCTTAGAAACGGTGTGTTTTAGTGGTAAGAATCCTGAGTTTGGTTTTCAGGTCCCTCCTTTTATGTATCTTTATGCCCCAGGGGTGAGGAATGTCCAGCTTATGGCCTGTGAAATAATTTAGTCTGCTCCTACCAAGGCATTAGGGGTGAGTTAATTAAATGTTTGGCCAAATATAGCAGGCTACTTTTTAAGTTGATAATTTTGTATGGCCTGTGAATGATGTTATAAATATCCAAATGGCCCTTGGCAGAAACAAGGTTCCCCACTCCTACCTTAGATTTTTTGCTCTTAAAATGGAGACAGATACATTTCTGTGCCCGTTACCTTCACATGGATGCACAAGGATGCTCTAACTGCACCTAGATCATTTAAAAAAAAAGGCCTTTTGGGGCTCATATCCTATATACCCCAATATTTTTTATTACATACCTTTTTACTTTATGCCTTGATGTAGACTGTCTATAAATAAGGGAGTATCTATAAATCTCCCCAATTTATATGCAGAATGTGGTATGGGGCCAAGTATTTCATTATTCTTAAAGAGGTCTACATTGCTAACAGGGCTGAGAGTCACAGCTCTAGGCAGTTTTCTCAATTTAAGCATCTATATTTGGACACGAGTAGGGTCCCTAGGCCTGGCTGGCAGTCAGGCCCAATCTGTGGGGTGACTGGCGGGGCCCCTGCTGGCACCCACCTTGGCTGGCCTGGGGCCTGAAGGTTGAGGGCAGCTCCTGCATTGAGCGTCTTCCCCCTGGTGGTCAGTGCGTGTCATAACCAGCGGTCGGTCTGCCGTTCAGTCGATTTGCATGTTAGGCCTTTATTATATAGGATATATAGGATAGTATTTTTTATGTTTAAAAGGATTTTCACATTTTTAGTTTTTTTTTAAATTTTTACAATAACCTTGTCAGGGAAGTAGGACAAGGATTGTTATTGTCATTTTTATAAAGAAAGCTAAGTCCCAGGCTAGAGGTAATTATTATTACAATCTAGATCTCTTACAAATAAGTCTTGAGAGAATTCTACCAAGCAGCCACAATTTCAGATCTTATTGAATTGATACTGTGTGCAAAATATTAAAACCCTAGGTCCACTCATGGGGAGAGGCCAGTTATATTTCAGATCAGCTTTTAATAGCTCTTTATAGTTATTTAACTTAGAATTGCTTTAAGGATGCAATGGAGACCATAGACAGGCAGCAGAATAAATAAATATTGCATCTTTTTGCCTAAATGGAATTCGGCTAATTCATTCACCTGCATATATGTTATATTTTCTATCCTTACTTGTTTGCCTGTTTCATTGTTTATTTCATTATTGAGTTATGCTGTGGTAAGTGTGGAATCATTAGGTAATGGTACATATACCATTAAGAGTCTTTGGGGTAGGGCCTTAACAAGCACTGCAGGTGATTCTGATGTTCAGGTAGTTTGAAAACCATAAAACTAAATTGTCTCTTCTTGGTATTTAGTGAATCTAATCCTTCCCAGCATAGGATATAATTTCAGTTTATATGTTTTTATCCACATCAGTTTTCTGTAGAATTATGACTTATCATTTGGGAACAAAATTGTAGAAATTATAGACTTCCCTTCTAATTTTCTCTAGGACAATGATAAACTATCATTTTGACACAGCAAATATTGATTCAACCCCTTTGGGGAAGTAAATGGGAACAGTGTCTTTTCTCCCAGTTTCTCTTTGGTTATCTGACTGCTGTAAGGTAGTCCTTGAGCTCCGGGCTCATAACCAGACATATTTTTCTTAATGAGTGGAACTGGGATTAGCCATAGAATTGTAAAGAATATGGCCAGGGTTGCTTGCCAGCAACTCCCTAGAGTGAGGTTACAAGCAGATGCAAGAGGAAACTCCCAACTGTTGAGCAACGAGTGGAGTTAAACTGGAAATATTGGATTGGGATTCGGGACACCTTCCAAACCAGTTTCTTGGTGGGGCTGTTGAATCATTGGTAGAGATATCTATATCAAAGTCAGCTTATATCACAAAATGCCAGAAAATCCATTACAAATGAGTAGCTAAACCAGGCAAATAGTGACAGCTAGTCACTTAAACACATGGTGCTTTCTGCTTTCGACACAAATTTTCTCTGTAATTTAGAAAAAGTTGTTCACCCTATCAACTTCATCATCCTATCCTATAAAATAAAAGCCTAATATGCAAATCGACCAAACGGCAGAACGACCAGTGGAATAACCGGTCACTATGACACACATTGACCACCAGGGGGCAGATGCTCAATGCAGGAGCTGCCCCCAGCCCGTAGGCCCCAGGCCAGCCAAGGCAGGTGCCAGCAGGGGGACCCCCCCCCATTGCCCCGCCGGTTGCCCTACAGATCAGCCCTGATTGCTGGCCAGGCCTAGGGACCCTACCCATGCATGAATTTTGTGCACTGGGCCTCTAGTATTCATTATAAAGTGTTTGGAGCAAAGACATATAAAGAAATGTGTTTGAGAAGAGGTTGGCTTTAAGCTGCCTTCATAATTGATATTCACAATTATTTCATGGACCACTTATATGCTTTCTTTCAGGCACTGGCTTGCCCAAGAATATGTCTGGTTTTTGATTCCATATATGGTCTACGACATCTACGCCATGTACCTTTGTGACTGGTACCGAATCAAAGAACAGAACCGCAGACACTCCCTCATCATTTTTCGAAACTTCCTAAGTAAAAACCGCCTCATGATCACGCACCATGTGGCCATTCTGTTGGTCCTTGTGCCAATTGCACAGGTATCAGCTGCCTTGGTCACTCATTTCTCCTGTTGATCTGGGTATCTGACCAATACTTAGGAGTCAGGATTGCTCCTCTTTTCCTTCACTTTCCTACTTCACCTGTTCTCGTATGCCAGCTGCTTCTGCAGTTAAATCCCCAGATTAATCATGTAGAAATGTGATCCTCCTTGCCAGCAATCCCCCAGCCCTTTATGATTCCTTAGTTTTTGCCAAAGATTCTGTCTTTAGTTTATACAATATAAAGACAATATAAAATACAACATAAGAATTTTTTAAAATGAGACCAGTTATTTGCTCAGTCAACTGGTTATTTGCTCTAACAGTGCCAGAGAGTACTGTGTGCATTATTATTATTTATGTTACAAAAGCAAGCTCTGAAAGCAAATAGCCGCATAATTTCTCCCTAGATCCATTTTTTCCCATCAAAACTTCACTGAACAAGGAAGAAATGGGAATGCAGAGAGGAAATTAGTATTTTTGAGTGCCCGCCAAGTGATAGGCACTTGATTTAAAAGCTCATAGCTTTCTGCTAATAATTAGAAATGATCAGGAATAATTAGAAATAACATTATAAATTGTTAGCCCTATACCGTGTGTGCGGCCCACCGGCCGCGAGTTTGACATGCTTGAATTGGGGCTCTAAGAGTTGATGTAGCTCACTCTGGTACTACTTGAGCTGCTATCTATGCTATACTACTTTCTTGAAAAGATATACAGGTGCCGTGTACTACATTCTTTAAGAAGTCTCCCCAACATCTAGCACAGGGTTCTGACACATACTTTGTTGAACTGACTTGGCTAAGTGCCCTTGGCATGACTAAGTTAGAAACCCAAAAGTAGGCTGCAGAGTTCCTTCCGGCTGACATGGAAATTCTGAGAAAGCTTGGTGTGTGATGCAATCAGCTATCAGAAGTTGCCTCTGGATCCTAGCAATTCGACCATCAAAGTTCCATTGCTACGGAAGCAGCAGAGTATTAAATGGGTCTACACTTGTCCATGTAGCATTTCCCTTTCCCTTCATGGTCTGTCATGGTCTTTTTCAGCAGCCCTAGAATTTCCTTCCAGTGGTTCCTTAACCTGCATATCATATTTCCCTGTTTCATCTTCTCACCTGCAGAGGTTTAGGGGAGAGCTGGGGGACTTCTTCGTTGGCTGCATCTTCACGGCAGAACTGAGCACTCCATTTGTGTCGCTGGGCAAAATTCTGATTCAGGCACGTATGAATGAAATGGCAGAAACAGTTCTCCTCTATCACTTCCTTGCACTCTCACACTCTCTCCCTCCCTACCTTCCTGCTGGTCGCCATTTTTCCCAGTCCCGAGGATATTTTTTCCATTGATTTTTCTAGAGAAAGTGGAAAGGAGGCAGAGCAGGTGGATGAGGGGGGGGGGGGGGGGGGGGGGGCAGGGGGGCGTACAGACTCTGTTTTTCCTTGGTAGATTGTGAGGTTTAGAGAAATCCCTTAATGCTAGGAATAGTGGAATAGGAGACCCTTGAACAGACTTAAAGGTCAATTGGTCTTCCAAGCCAGTGGGGACAAAATTGTAAGTTTGATTCAAATTTGATACAGTCCTTCATGTATTTTTTCCCAGGCCATAGATCTTCTCTCATCCTGTGTTCCTCTGTTTTTCCTTGGTAGATTGTGAGGTTTAGAGAAATCCCTTAATGCTAGGAATAGTGGAATAGGAGACCCTTGAACAGACTTAAAGGTCAATTGGTCTTCCAAGCCAGTGGGGACAAAATTGTAAGTTTGATTCAAATTTGATACAGTCCTTCATGTATTTTTTCCCAGGCCATAGATCTTCTCTCATCCTGTGTTCCTATCAGCTGGGGTGGCTTAGGTCGAATTCAGCATCACGGCTGAAACACCTACAAGGCTATATGCACATACAAATATGGCCATGCCCAATCAACTTTTCCAAGTGTTAGAAAGCTAGATGCCTGGACTTTACTACTGTGGGACTTGAGCTAGTCATTTCCTGAAGGCCCAACCTCTTCGTGACTCTGCATTCTCCTTCCCTCTTTTGCAGCTAAAGAAGCAGCACACCCTTCTGTACAAGGTGAACGGAATCCTCACGCTGACCACCTTCTTTTCCTGTCGGATCCTTCTTTTCCTCTTCATGTATTGGTCCTATGCCAAACAGAAGGACATAAGCCTGTTCCAAGTGCCATTCAGGATCCCTGTCTTCTGCAATGTGGCCAATGCCTTCCTCATCGCTCCCCAGCTCTACTGGTTCTCTCTGCTGTGCAAGAAGGCAGTCGGGCTCTTTGACACTCCCCCAGCCGAAAAGGATGGATAAGTGCTCCCAGGAGTCAGGCAGTGAGGGTGCCTCTTCATACTAGCTGCCTCTTTCACTCAGTATTCCACGGACCAAATTGTGCCCTGGATGGCCTCAGCCTTTTGGGTATTGATAAGTAGATGGGTATTGAGTTTTTCTAAAGAATATTCGTATTACCTCCCTCAGCTAACCTGCCCCTTTTGCAAAAGCACTTTTTGTAATAACAACTATTGGATCCTGTCAGACCTCCATTGGCAGCAAGGTGGTTTTGCCCAATGATCCTTCCTTGGGCCTTATCTCAAGGGCTCTGGGAGGTAGAAGCATGGGGTGTGGAGACAGGTGGACCAGGATAAGTCCCTGGGCACCTAACTGGCCCTAATATTGGTGGCTACCCACCTTTCCAAACACTCAGGGCAATATCCACATATACTGGGCCAGCAGAAACAGTGATGACTTGGTTCTTGAAATAATTTCTTATGTTGGCCTGGGGAAACCATTGTGGGTAGGTAGCTTTTCATTGTTTACTAGATAATCCACTGCCTCATCCATGTGCCAACATTGAATTCTTGTCATCTGACTTCCAATCAGAAGTCTCATTAGTGAGGGTCGGCGTGGCAGGAGGCAGGGATGGGAACCTGAAGCGCTTGAGGAGGTAAAAGAGGTCTGCATCTTTGCAGGCTGACTGTAAGATCAGTGTCAAAGTTGTGAGTTTGTTGTCAACAGTCACAAATACTGTTCCCTCTTTGGCATGTCCTTCCAAGCCCAGCTTTCCCCATATCCACACACACAAAGGATGCTCTTGTTAAAAACTATAGTGGTAGAGTGAAAAGATGGCTACCAAGCTATTTATTAGTAACCCCACTCTTTGACACTGTCTTTTTCACATGAAGTGGAAATGGAGTTCCATATTCCAAACCATGAGAAGTCGCATCTAGACTGCCTCCTAACAGAGCTTGTGGCCAAAAGCCTGTTCCCATTGAGTGCACCACCATTTAGCCACAGAAGGCTGGAGAGCAAGAGTGCAAGACAGCCCTGGCCAAAATATGTCCTGTGAACTGACTCCTTCACTACCATTTGCAAATGGGATTCTCTGGTGCCAACACTAATCATTCCTTATCAACTAGGATGGGTCTTAGAAACTGCTACCATGAATTTTTTTTCAGGTGGTAGTGAGAAGCTAGGTTTTAAAAAGTGCCTTTTGATTCATTGTTGTCCATTAACTTTTAAAGTACTGAATATGTAACAGTGACTCAAATGTTGACTATTTCAGTCTTTGATGGGTGCCATTTTAAAAATGCAAAATGATATATTTTTTTTTTACTGGTTTGTTCACTGTCAGTGTATCTTGCATAAATCACCCCTGTGGTGATTAAATTGCACTAATATTTCCCAACTTACTCTCATTTGTGAAATATATCAATACCGACTTCCTGTAAGACCCATCCATGACCTGACTTGGCTGGCTGCTGTGTGGTATTGTTTCTGGTCTGTGTTCATATCCATGTAACTCGCAAAGCTGGGGGAGTTGAGGGGAGGGGAATGTGTTAGTGCTTTCAGCCTCCAGGAAGGCCTACCTCAAACCTTACTCTAACACTGTTTCTGTGATTCATGGTTCCTGTATACTAAGCATGTCAAACTCTCAGCCTGCGGGCCACATGCCTAGTTTATTTGGCCTGTGTTAGCCTTTGAGTTTGACATGTTTGCTGTACACTGTAGGGTCCCAGAGTTCAAGCCTAGTGGTCATGTAATTTTAGGCCCTTTTTTCTCTTTCTAGGTGAATTTCAATTAGGAGTTGGGAGGGTAGAAACCCAATTGTAGGCCACAGAGCTAGCCCACTTCAGGTGGGGGAGGGAACCTGAATAAGGCCCCATTATGAATGAGGGCCTGGGTGTGAAGGAGGTATTGGGATATCTCCCACCTGGGTGTGTGTGTTCTTTTGCACTGAAACCCTCTTTGGGTCATTTTGTGGTCTTTTGGAAAAGGTAGCAATTAAGAAAATAACTCTATTCTTCTACCAGTTTTGAATGAGGGCCTGGGTGTGAAGGAGGTATTGGGATATCCCCTTTTCCCTTTCTTGCCTCCCAAATTAAATGTCTCAGCAACCAGCACTCATAGTTCTGTAAAATGCCCTGCACACCTTAAATTTGTATTTTTATGCTTCTGTAGACACCATTCCCTGCTCCCCCTCATTTTTCAAAACTGTGACAATATACTCCAAGCAGAAGGTAATTACACTCGTCCTTTAAACACATCTCTGCTGTTTACCAGACCTAGTTTTAGTACAGCCCTTCTGGATACACTGAATTGATGGCGTTAAGACTGTAGAGCAGAAGTCCTCAATTCAGAAGCCAACCATTTTCTTTAGGTCCTTAATCTACCCCCAGCACTAAATTTTCTTGGTCCAACCTTCTTTTACAGTGCTGCTGGCCTTTGGGCACACAAATCACCTGGCCAACTGGTAGAAGAACAGAGTTATTTTCTTAATTGCTACCTTTTCCAAAAGACCACAAAATGACCCAAAGAGGGTTTCAGTGCAAAAGAACACACACACCTTATAATTTTTCCACTTGGGTATTTCACCTTTGAACTTACTAAAGTTTAGGATGGAGAAGTCCAATTATGAACTTTCCTCGCAGCCTGATCTTTAAGACTCTAGCTGAACCCATATTTAAGCCTAAACTATTGATGAGAAAGACTCAAAAGAGATAAGACAGACCTCAAAATGAGATTATAATTTGTGTTACAAATACCCAAGAAACTATTTTCTTTACATTGTTATTGCCATATACTTTTTAGCTTGTTTACAACTTCACATAACTGAAGAGTTTTTTTGTTTCTCGGCTCTAGCCCCTATAGACCCCACCCTCATCAGCTGTTGTCTGATCCACAAAGGTCAGAAATTGCTGATCTTCTGCAGCAGGGTCTGGCGCCGCTCCTCGGGGCTAATGTTCTTGGCAATGGACTTTAAAAAGTGCTGCTCATTTACCTTCTGGAGTAAGGCGCTGATAGAAGGGTTGGTCTTGCTCAGGGTTTCATAGCAGGTGAGGATTTCCAAGGCCAAAACGTAGAGTGGTTCACACACCTCTTGGTGGAGCATGGCCATGATGTGCAAAACATGACAGAATACCTGAGTATAAAAAAATAGGGCTTCCTGGGTCAGGTCCTGTTCTTCTCCTTGGGCCCAAGGGCCAACTGACCGTATCAACCTAACTGAGTCCAGGAGGCTGGTCAGACTGCTACAGAGAAGTTTGACCACATGGCTCCAGCCTTCCATAGGAAGCCAGTTGCGACAACTCTGGCTGCAAAGAAACTGGAAAGCTCTCAGGAGGAGAACGGAGAGTTGGAGCTCCTGGGCCAAGGGCTTCAGGTTGAGCAGAGGAACAAACTGAATATATTCCAGGCTATAAGGGACATGTAGGAGTTGTTTCTCCAACAGTCTCCTGGTCAACTGGAAAAGGTACTGCCACTCCTGGGTACTGCACCAAGGCATGACTTGCACCAGGGCTACCAGAAAGCCCTTGCTGAACAATCTGACCTCCTCAGGGTTATCCACACCCACCACTAAGAGGGAGAGCATCCGCTCGGAGATGCTCCTGGAGAGGCAGCAGCACTCCATCCAGGCAAGGAGCCCTGTGCCGGGCCCATACCCAGGGTGGGCCTGGGAGGTCCACTCATCCTCAGAAAGCTTACAGATCTCAAAAAGTGTGGCTGGCACCTCACACTTGAAGTGGCCCTCAAAGAAGTTCTTCAGTCTCAGGTTCACAGTCCAGTCTAGCTGCTCCAACTTCCGGTGGAGCCAGGACAGGGACTTGATCCAGGTGTCTGGGGAGAAGGTCTCGGCATTTGCTAATACGATCTCACAGAGGAGCTCCAGGATATGGACCACCATATCCTTCCCATCCAAAGAGAGGCAGCGCTTCTCCTTAGGGAGCTGCCAGTATTTACTGAAGCAGTCCAGGAGCTGGCACAAGCTGAAGATGAGGGGAAACGGAGAGCAGGTTTGGAGCCAGTATTCCTCTAAGCAGGCATTTACTTCGAGGGTCTGAATAAAGATCTTCAGACTGAGGTCCACCTCTTCAACATCTAGCATCAAGAAAGGCAGGACGAATTCCCTGAGAACCTCATCTGGCTCAAGAAGGGCCGCAACTGGAATCCCCTGGGGCTTCACGGGACTCATCAGGCATCTCAGGAGCTCCAAAAACTGCTTTTCTTCCTTGGGTGTAGAGAACTTTGTCCAGACGGTTTCTCTGAGGCATGACACGACGAACGTGGTGGACGGGTTTGGACCCTGCTCTTCCGTGAACCTGAGGGCGGGGAAGGCGGTGAGAATCTGAGCCAGGAACTTGTGGGTACCGAGATTGACCACAGCCATGCTGCACATTTTCTTCACAGTGATCTCTGGGTGCAGTATCACCAGGCGGGCCACAGAAGCTACAGCCTTAGCCAATCCCTGTTCGGAAGCACTCTGTGCAAGCTGGTTAAAAGTTGTGTTGAGGTCTTCCTGAAACCCCTCCAAGTAAGCCAACAACTTCTGAGAGAGGCCCTTTCGCCCCCAGGCAACCAGGACACCTGAGAGGACTTTATTTTTATCTGGCAGTGAGAGGCCTGCGTAACATTCCAGGATCAAGTCAATCACTTGTTTGATCTGAGATTCAGGGATGGCTCTGTCTGTCGTGCTGACTTCCACCACAGTTTCCAGCAGCTTTAATACCAAATCTGGCTCTCGGAAGAGAGACTGGTTATTAACCAGGCAGGCAAGCCACTCATCTGAGAAGGCCCACTTCTTCTCAGAAGCAAATATGTAGCACATTTCCATATGCCGATCCATCTTTTGCTCAATAATGGCCATGGCAATCGAGGCAGTAATGTCTTTCTCCAAGCCCTTGTTGAGTACCTTGTTCGTTTTCCTCAGGAAATCCCCGACGCACTCTGCCAGTTCAGAAACCACCTGCCTCTCCTCCTTGGATAAGCTGGTGGTACCCAGGTAAAGCTTCAAGTTCTGGCTGAAAGAAGTCAGACTGTCACACAGCCGGTAACTGTCATAATTTGTCCCATGGGTGCTATTGAGCATGGCCTGCAGCTCCTCCCCCCACTCCCGCAGAAGACTGCGCATGAAGTCAAATCCGGCAAAAATCGTTTCATTCGGGAGTCTGGCCAGCGAGCTCAGGTTGACATCCCGTTCTGCCTCCTTTACCTTCTCTGCCAGTGCCTGCTGGTGATATGGGTTCTGGGTGTCCGAATTCCACACGGAGATCACCGTGGCCAGTTTGTCTAGATACACATGTGCAGACACTTCCTGAGGGTCATCCTCCATCAGTGCAAACACGGTCAGCATATCAGCCAAATTGGCTAATGCGCAGCACTTCATCCCAGGGCCCAAGATTCTATTTTGGATTTGCTTCAGCCCAGTGAGCAGCATGGCCAACAAAGGCATGGTAGGACACACATCAGGGTCTGACTTGAACCTCTTTGGAGGATGGGAGAACTCATCTGAAGAGGATAAGTACTTATTAGCCATTGTCCTAAACTGAGAGAGCAGGGGGTCCTGCTGATTGTCCTTGTGCTTCATCATTTCCCACCAGACATCGAGGAAGAAGGCCACATCCTTTGAAGAAGTATCAATAGCCATGTGCTCCAAAAAGCGCTCTAGTTCTGCACGGCAGATGGTGGTAGGGAGGGCCATCAGGAGCTGGATAAAGAGTCCAGAAGCTTCCAGGGACTTGAGCAGCTCAAAAAGAACCGTGTGATTGATGGTAGGGATCATGTTGCCTACTGAGAAGAACACATCTTCCTGCCACCGAGTTTCAGTGTCGGAAGGGGTAATGGGGTAGGGCTGAAGAACCTTGGCCCAGATGATGACCAGAGCTTTCCTCTTCCAGGCAAAGGACTGGGAGCATGCTGTGGCGGAGATTTCCCTCAAGGCCTCCACAATGGGCCGCCCAACATGCTCCCAGTCAGACTTTGTCAATTCTGCCAGTGCTTTGGGGTGAAACAGCTGCTCGGCCAGCAAAAAACCCCCATGCAAAATAGTCATTTCTTCACAGATATTCAAGGGTCCTGCACGGAGAGAAGCCGAATAAGACAGAGTGTGGTGACAAATTTCAAAATAGTAAGCAGAGGTTAGAAGGAAAGATAGCAGTTGGTAGGCTGGCTGTTGGGATCAGGGTAAGAGATAAAAGTTCTAAATAGGATCAGTGGGAGAGGGGGAAGAAAGCAGTGATTCTAGGAGCCACTGCAGAGTTGGAGTAAAAAGGACTTACCTGAGGAATAGAAAAGGACTCCCAAACTCTAGCTTGGAACTGGGAAGACAACAGGCACCATTGGAGATAGGGAACACAGAAGACTCAGAACAGGTTTGGAGGGAACCTGTTAAGTTTTGGTTATTTGGAGTTTGAGGTATAAATTAAGGTAGAAATGCCCTCCAGCAATGGAAATGCAAGGCTGAAGCTCAGGAGGAAAGTCAGAGGGGATCAATGGAACCAATGAAGTGAGATCTCGCAGGAAAAGCATTTGAAAAGGAAAAGCTGGGCTACAGAGGCTAGACTAGTGATGGCGAACCTATGACACGCGTGTCAGAGGTGACACATGAACTCATTTTTTTGGTTGATTTTTCTTTGTTAAATGGCATTTAAATATATAAAATAAATATCAAAAATATAAGTCTTTGTTTTACTATGGTTGCAAATATCAAAAAATTTCTATATGTGACACGGCACCAGAGTTAAATTAGGGTTTTTCAAAATGCTGACACGCCGAGCTCAAAAGGTTCGCTATCACTGGGCTAGATAGATGGGCCAGCAGAGGATTTAGGGAAGATGGGTTTAGAGAGAAAGCACAATGACAGTTTCAAACTACAGGGACCACAAAATATATATTGCAGGACATGAAACAGCTTATAAATTATGATACAAATTAAAAGGCACATGGCCTAGGGCTGTGGGCATAGAAGCAAGCAGACAAACCCTACCTTCCCCCTTTTCTCTCATAGCCTTGCCCTGCAAACAGATTTCCACTGTTCTGCCTTTCAGGGAAACAATTCATCCCATGGCTTCTTCCAACAAGAACAGCTACTCATGGCCCTGGTTCTCTGGTAGAAACCAAGGGGTAGATAGAAAAAATAATGCATTACATTAAGTTCTCCCTTCAGTGACCCACAGACTTATCAGTGAACTGACACATATTTATCAAGGAAGGCATCTTGGTCTGTTTAATCAGACATTGAGTTTAGCTCAGCCATTTAAAAGCAGTCATCTTGGACAGATGACTTCTCTGAGCATCCCTTCTGTATATGTGGGGATAATACAAACTTCATATAATGATCATGAAGATCCAATGATATATACTAGTCAAGCTCTTGGCACTGGGTTGGTGCTTACTGTTAGCTCCTGATCCCACCTCCCAGAGATAGTGAGAGTTAAACAAGATATAGCTACAAAAAGAATCAGGATTCAAAGAGCCTGATGAAGTGCTCAATAAATGTTGTTTTTCCCCAAACCTTTCTACTGTTGACAAGAACAGAATCTTGTCACTATTCTTGGCTTCCCTGAACTCAGAAACATGAAAAGACAGATCTTTCTCAGGTGTCTCCTTTGGCCCAGAAACTAAGTCAGATCCCAAATACTGCTGCTCACTAATCAATATTCCTGTCTCTCCCCTTTCCCAGGACCCAGAGATGCCACCCCTTTCTCAGTCCTTCATATCCCCAAGAACCCATCTCCCCAGACTCCTGATTCCAGCAGATTAAAGAGTATCCTGCTCCTTGGACCATTTATGGGAGCAGCAAAAAGGCCAAGAGCTCAATCAGCACTCCTATGCAGATCCTGGGGAAGGCAATCCACCTGGCTCCAGTGGCCGAGGCCGACTCCCACGGAGGGTTAGGTTGCTCAGGGAGCTCTGGACCTTCTTTCTAGCTCAGGCCACTGTCCAAGGCACCAACATATGTTCCCTATGATTCTGTAAAATGAATGTTATTGCGCTATCAGTTCAGCTGAGATGTCTGGTCTCTAACAGCTATTTTCCAGAGAGACTCAAGTATAAGTCCCAGGAGCAGTTAAAAGCTGGGCAATTCCCCAGTGTTTTGTCACTACTGGATAACGGTGCTTCTGAGTGCCCGCTCCTCTATATTTACTGAGTGCTGCTTGTGCCAGGTGGCACTCACGAAAGGTCTCTGTAAGTCTTCATGTCAACCTTTTGAGGACCATATTACTCCTGTTTTAGAGACGGGAACATGGAGACTCAGAAGCCATTTGCTCCGGAGAGCACAACTACAAAGCTGTTGGGCAGAATCACCACAGCTGTAAGGCTCCGGGGGCGCTGGGGGAGGCACCCAAGGGGAGCCAGAACGCTAGGCCTCCCCACCACCGCCTGCCATGCACAACTTGAGCGCTTTTTGGAGCACATGGCTATTGATACAAAGTGAAGAGCTGGCTGGGGCCAAGGAGCAGAACTTTTCTCCACAGGCCCAGTATTGCTGGCACACCTTGGGGTGCCTCCCCCAGCTCCCCCAGAGCCATCTCCTAGTCCTATCCCCTTAGGAGCATGTCCAGAAGGGTAAAAAGCTGGGCCAGGAGCCGCTGATTTATACCAGCTCCCCCCTCCCTTCTTCCAAACTTTGCCTCAGGATTCTGAATCAAGGCGCACGTGCACGCTGCAGCCACACCCTCCCCACAATCGCTAGTCCGATGAACGCCAGCTCCGTGCAAGGCGCTGCACCGGGCGCTGTATACACGTGATCTCCAGGAAAACTCCCCCAAACTCTGCAGTGGATACATTATCATCTCCGTTTTACTAGATCTACGAGGACCTCCTGAGCCTGTCACTGGCTAAAGAACTCATCAGACATTCAACCGAGACCGTCGGGCACCCGGGATCCCCCCGAGCGTCCTCCCAGCCCGGCAACTTCCAAATCACCTGCACGCACCCTCTTTACTTTCGGGAAATCTTCCCCTCACAGCCGTTTGGCGCTTCACGTGGAAAGGGCCCCAAGGGCCCAAAAGCGGCGCGGCCGGGGCTGGAGCCGGGTCTCCCAACCCCCGGTCTCCAAGGAACCCCCTGCTCTCCAACCCCTCCCCCCACAACCCTGGGGCTCCCTCAGCCCG